TTTGCATTGCATGTGCATTGGTGCGCCTAGGACACCGTGTTTGCCATCTGCTATTCCTGAACAGTTTGCCGGAGGCTTGCTTTGTTAAGCGTGCCATAAGGCTGACCGGTTACGGGCTTTGCCACGATGGGAAGACAAAACCCGATTTTACCGGGGCACCCTTTTGACCATTCGACCTAGTGCATATTCGGAATCCATAGTGACCATTCCAAACTAGGACCGGTTGCTTACCCAATTATAGGTTGTTTGAAACCGCTGCGTGCGTAGTGAAACCCTAGCTCCTGACAAAATAGGACAGGGAAACCCTACCCCAACATAGGGGTATTTTGGTTCTCATATACTTGCTATGTGCTTTCAGAGTGTATTTCTACAAGAACACACATATCAGTTTTACAAGTTTAGTACCAGGCCTGACGGCATCAGTATCAGTGTTTTGGGGAATCGGTTATATCTGTAGGTATCAGATTCAGTTTTTTGGGCAGTGATTTTAGGGAACAGTGATCAGTAGTAGAGTACAGTTATTCAGCTACACCTGTGTCTGTTCCGTTTGGGCTGAAATGCTGCTTGTTTTCCCTTTCAAGGTTTAGGGATTTAGGGTCAGAGATTTGGTGTTCTCCTTAGCTGAGGCAAGGCAGATATCAGATCCGTCAATCGCCGGTTGCATCATCTTCGTTCAAAGTTCAGCGGACATATGATGACCCAAAGTTCAGAGAAAATTGTGGTTATGGCAGCCGCATTAAACCAAGGAATCACCCTACAAAGTAAGACCAATGTTGAAGTACCACATCCGCCTCGGTCACTTGCCGTGCGCCCGATCTGGGAGCCCCAGTTGTTTCAAGTTCGTGAGCCCACAACGTTTGAGTTGATGGGAATGATTGGTGACCTTCAGAGGTCTGTGGCTGATCTCGCTTATGGAATGTCGGCTTCGCCACCAGCTACATCATATGCCGGGAATGTCATACCGTAGGAGCCCCCGCTACTAGGGCGAATTGTGATCGAGCTCAGCCAACCTGAGTTTGTCTCAAGCTATAGCAATGACATGTCAATAGCAACCCAAACCCTCGATCAAGCTGAGGCCAGAGGTAAGAATAAAGTGGGAACAAATGCTGATCCTGTTGAACAACTGTTGTGGGCAGTCGAGGCTTTGAAAGCCGGCGGGTTCAATAAACAGCAAGTATTCCTAGTTATGACTAAAACTGTGGATGGTGCTTTATCCACTCCAGCCGAGGGCAGTTCAAGCCAGGCGAAAAATCGGGATAGGCCCCGTCATGCGAGAACAGTTCCTTCCACTACCAACCCTACCCCTGGGAAAGATCAGAAAGCCAAGGCAGTGCCTGCCGACCCTTTCGCTAGTGCGTCTAGCAAGAATCCTCAGACTTCGAAGTACCTGCCTCGAGGGCGCAGAGTCTTTCATGCCCTCTACACGCTTTTGTCTAGGGCATTTCAAATTTTGGCTAAAAAGGGACATCTTAAACCCCTCGAGCCTCGACCTCTCTCGAAGAATCTCTCTCACACATGATGCTGCCTTGTACTGCGCGTACCACCAGTAAACCGGTCACAGCACCTTCGGTTGTTACCACCTTCACCACGAAGTGCAAGATTTGATCGGTAATGAGGTCATCCTCCCACCCACCTCAGCAAAGTCTATCACCGCTGAATTGTTGGATTTCGAGGATACTGCAAGTATGTGATCAGGGGTTGGACCACCTGCGGGCGGTGCTCGGTGTATTTCAGATGTGGCGTTTGGCACGCACTGTTGGGAGCATTTGCAAATGCCGTTTTGTAATTTCTGGCTTGGGTGTCGAGTCAGTTCTTTGTTTTTGTTTTGAGTTTGTCTCTTTGTCCTGAGTCAGTCTTTTTGCTTAAGGGTCTGTCTTGTTGTGTCGAGTCAGTCCCATTGTATAGAATGTTAGGTGATTCCGGGATTGTTGCCTCGAACACCGTTTTGTTTTGTAATCACCCTTTTGTTTTCTTTTGAGTCTGTCTCTGCTGTGGTGCCAATTGCAACCAGGAAATCTAAATGAAACAGCTGCGGTTATCATGTTTTCTGTGCCTATTGCTACTTCGAGCTAGTTGTGCCAGAAAATTTGAATGAAACGGCGGAGCATCTCACTTACTCTTTTGCACCTCGAATTCATTACATTGACCTAAGTTTTTCAAAACTTTTTTAACACTGTGGGGATGAAAACAAAGAGGAAAGAATTCCTCAGGATTTGCAAAACTTTGATCATTTGAGAGAAAGGGAGGCGTGCTGAGCCCTTAATGATTGAAATCATGTTTGTTAACGTGAGTACTGAGAAGGACCCTGGCTTGATCCAGATTGGTTCCGCACTATCTTCAGCGCGAGCGATTTGTCGCTTTCTTAAAAAAATTTCAAAAACAAAGCATTTTGCGCAGTCCTGGGAAGACCTGTGTGGAATCGCTCTTGAGATTATGCAGCTTAGGATCGCTCTCAGCCTCAAGACTTGAGCCCTTGCTTTCAAACCTTGGACCTTAGTTCAGAATGTTCAACGGTCAACTACAACATGAGGCCTGCGTGGCCAAACTTGAAGCAGCCCTCGAACAAGAGGCCAAGAAAGTCAGATCAAGAAGATCAGACATCATCAGAAGAAGCTTGCGAAGCTAGAACAGAAGCACCCCTCAAACTAGGGGCAAAAATGTTCGATGTGCACGAAGAGTCGAAAAGGGATCCTTTTGCAAATCAATACAACAGCCACTCTCCTGGATACGGATGGCTTTGAGATCCTAAAACCATTTGGCATGGACTTGTTACACTTTTACCCTTTGAGAGGCTCGCTGGGCCGAAAACCCGGAATGGCGACCCAGGCAAAAGTTAGAGCAAGAAAAAAAGAAAAGAAAAGAATACAAAAAAATACAAAAAAAGAGAATGAAAAGATTTGAAAAAGAAAAGACAAAAAAAATGGAAAAAAAAAAGAATTGAAAAGAAAAGAAGAATAAAGCTCGCAAGGTTGAAAACCCGCAAAGGGCGGCCTTGGCAAAAGTTAGAGCCTAAAAAGTGAGGGTTAATACACAAGTGTGCCTTAACCGGAACTACGTAAGGCTTTATTCCCATGTTTGGAATACGTAGGCAATTTTATCTTGAAGTCCAGCCACAAACACTTCCAAATCAAGTGTGTCCATGTAATGGTTTTGATCATCCTTGCCTTTTCTGAATCCGATAGTTCGGTTGTGACACAACCGGAACTACGTAAGGCTTGATTCTTATGTTTGGGATACGTAGGCAACTTCATCCTGAAGTCCAGCCACCAACACTTTCAAAGTGACTGTGTCCATATATTGGTTTAGACCATCTTCGTCTTCTCTGTATCCGAGAGTTTGGTTGCGATCATCACTAATTAGGACTGACTACAGTATGCTGCGGCGTTATCTAGACAAGGGGCAACTTTCCGTTGCCATGAGTCGCCATCCAAACCAGGGGCAACTTTCCGTTGCCGTGCTGTGCCCTTTGGAACAAGGGGCAATTTTCCATTGCCTCCGATCCGAGGTTGTGCCTCTCGAGAGTAAGTTCCATGCTCGTTGAGCAGTGACTGTTTGCAAAAATAGTTTTTGAGAATTTTTTTACTGAGGTTGACTATTTTCTCAAAAATTGTTCCATTTTTCAAAAACTGGACCATTTTCTTGGACCCAAAGAAGGAAAATTTTCAATACTCATAGCCTGACTTGCATGATTTTAAATCAGAAAATCGAACAAGTATGTAAATCTAACTCTCATTTTGGTTAAAATTGTTTTAGTAGAAAACCAAAATAAAAAATGGTCAAAATGATGAACTAGGAGCACGGTTGAGTCAGGCTTCTTGTCTTTTTCCCATCGCCAGCATACTTGCCAGAAAGGGCACAACTGAAGCTATCATCAAAGGGCTGAAAACTCTCTTACCCTCCGAGCAACGAGGTACCAAGCCAAGTGCGAAGCGTGAGCCAGAATGGATCAAGATACTCCACTCCCTTATCAGGAACATCGACTAAACGTCATCGGAGGAAATAACTGCAAGCCAACAGTGCTGGGCATGAACCCACAACCTTTTGTTTATTCACCGACCATATCTGGGGAGGGATGAAAAATGAGAGAGTGAAGAATAGAGAGGCGTAAGTCGAGAGAAAAGTGAGCAAAAAGGGGTTTTGAGAGAAAAACCGATCCTGAGGGTCGAGTGATGTGAGAATCACAAATGAGAAGAGGGTGGGAAACAATACCCAGAGAAACTGGCTCCTCGCAAACTAAGAGGTCTCTTGTATTTTATAACACGTCTGTGTGTCATGTCTTTTGTTTTGACTGTCTCGATTCTTGTCTTGAGTCGTCTCGAGTGTTACTCGATTTGTTTAGGTTGAGTGCCTTTTTGTTTTCTCTGTTGAGTTATTTTCACTGTGTTTAGTCGTAGACTCAATACCCGGTTGAAAACCCTTTCCTCAAATCATTTTGTGCTCAAAGTGCTGTGCCATTCCCTACAGTTGTGCAAAACATAATTTGGTTCTTTCATAAAACTGCAGGGTCCACCGCCGATAAGTGTGAACAGAAAAACCTGGACCTATCTGCAGCTTTTGGGTTCCGGATTGCGAAGCAAGAAATTTTGGAGCATCTGAGTGTGTTTCAACTTCTGCAGAGTTCAGAATGAACCGTGTATTTAGAATGAGCAATATGCTGCTGTGGGCTATGAGTTTAGAATAAGCAGTGTTCAGAATGGGCTGTGTGTTCAGAATAAACAGTGTGTTGTATGAACTGTGTGTATAGGCTGTATGCAGAGTAAACCAAGCACTATGTTAAGGGCTGTGTGTTCAGAATGAGCAGTGGGTTGTATCAGTTGTTTTGTCATTAACTGATTCACTACCTAGTTATTACAATACAAGTGTTTGATTTTCAGACAAAAGATCAATCTCATTTACATCGTTGTGTAATATGATGCGATGCGATGCGATGTGATGTCTGAAATACACAAATGTAAAACTTTTTCAGGCAAAAAGTTTGTTTCATTTCATCATCTTTTCAAGTACAAAGTTTCGAAGAAAACAAAACCTGCCCGCGACAGTACAAGGTACTCAAGCTACTAGCAAAGAGAAAAAGTAAAACAAAAAGAAGAAAAGCAGCAAAAATCTGGATCAGCATTGAACATCTCAGGCCTGAGAGCCTGTCCTCGTCCTCTTCCTGGACAAAGGTCCAGGAGCGTCATCGCCAGCTCCATAGTCTGAGCCCGAGTTCGAGTCATCTCCGGTCTCCTCCTCAGATGCCTCCGCCTCCGTCTCTGCCTCGGACTCGTCATCATTTGGGATCGGTGCTCGAGAGCTACTCCCAACATGAGTGCGCCCCATTTTGGGGCGGGGGAATACTATGCCACCTCGCCCTCCTCCTCAAGCAGGAACATAAGGCCCAGCTGGAGCACCTCCTGTAGTAAGGATCTGGAATGGAGGCTGAAAAGCACAAATGGCAAACTCATCAGTATGCTACGCAAAAGCAGAGTATGAATATCAAGTACGGTGTATGAGTACAGTATATGAATGCTGTGAGCAGTGTATCAGTATAGAATGCAGTGTATGAATACAGAATGCAGTGACTGAGTGCAGTGTATGAATGTCGTGAGGGCCGTGTATCAAGTGCTGTGTTGATAAGTGCGATACATCAGATTGTGTAAAGTTTGAGTCGGTGGTCAGAAAGACTTACCGGGATACTATAAAGGGCCAGCAGGTCTAAGCTCCGCTGGAGCATCCCTATCATGGAGGCATTCAACTCCAGGGACTGGCGAGTGTACTCAGAGGAAGCCTGCAAAAGTGTTAGAAGTATCAGTATTCTGCGGAATATCAAGAGAAATGAAATGAAATGACTACATGTAGTACATACCGGAGGCAAGTCGTAAAAATCGACTAGCTCGTGATCAGCCGGAGGGGGAGCGATTGGGATCTGATAAATCTCCCCACTCTGCCCTCTGTATGCCATCATCGTGGGCAACGCCGGCCATCCAACTCCCCGTCCTCTCCGAGGCCCACTCCTACCATGGGCCCGAGCCATCCTAGGTACTCCTGCCCTTGCTCCCGCTTCCGCTTCCGCTCCCGCTCCAGCCGCTGGCGTCGCAGGCCTCTCTCTCTCAGCTCGGCGACCACTGCTCAGAGGCCGCATGATGTAGGCCTGGACGTACTCTGCATAGTCTCCCTCGCCTCTAAAGCCCTCCGCCTCCCATCCAATCGTGTAACCGGCCATCTCATGTGGGGGGTATCTCTCTGTCTACCTCATGTTGATAGGAGGTGGACCCGGGGCTATCGGCTCTAGTAAACCTAAGGTCTGGCGCAGGAAGCACTCGCCCAGGTACCAAGCCCGACAGACCGGGCCCTCCAGCAGAATCTTGAATCGGGCAATCTCCTCAGCACTAGCATACCGCTCCCGAACTGCGGCCGGCAATGGAGCCCAAGGCTGCCAGGTGATTTATAAATGATATGCAGTTTGTTATCTACTATTATCGAAAGAATAATGTAAAGCGAAGCTTGAAATAAACTCTAAAGTTAAACATACCTCTGCAGCGGTGATGGTGTCGAAATAGCGGCAGAAGAATATGAATGACTCCCGGGATCTCACGTCAAAGCGGCGGGAGAATGGAACGTCGAGGGGGGTCTCCTCGTCCGGCACTGGGGCAAGCCTCGAGAAGTAGGCATACACCCACAACTATAGAGTGCAATAGAGCAGGTATCAGTATGCTTATCAAATAAAGCAGAACGTAGACGAAGCAGAATGCAGGATAAAACAGAAATTGCAGAACCGTGTATTGTGCAGTGTATTGTGCAGAGTGTACAGTGTGTGCAGTATACAGTCAGTGTAAAGCAGATTGCATGTTTTAGTATTTGCGGTGTATAGTCAGTTGGCATCAGATTGTGCAGTATGTGAAGTATTGTGCAGTATACAGCATGTAATGCAGATTATATGTGTGCCGTGTGTGCAGTATACAGTCAACATGAGGCAGACCGCAGTATGGGCAGTGTACAAAATACAGATAACTGAACAAATCTTTGTTTCGGTGCCTTTTTCTCGATTTCCGCCACTCGGGGTTTGTTTCCCTCGAGTTTTCCTCGATTTCTATGCCTTTTCCACACTCCGGCTTTTCCGGCCATTTTTCACCCTCTCAGGGTTGACATTTCAGTTGATTTTTTGCATTCTTGCCCGGTTTTCACTCTTCCGGTCATTTTCACACCATTCTCAGCATGGCGGATGGTATTCCATGAGGTGGGACTCCTCCGGAGCAGGAGATGGACCCTGAGGCCGAGCTCTTGCCTTTCAATGTCCGACCGTTCGACCTGGCAACCTATAGGCCGGCGATTCACGTGCTATCTCCTAATAGTCTTCGCCAGTTCAGGACTTTTGATAGGGGCGTGCCACGAGAGCTTCTTCTACGCGAGCTAGAGTCACATCTGTCTTTCGGCGCTTCTGAGGTATAGTTTTCCCTCTGTTTTATTTTCTGCAATGTAGAACATAACTGCAATAGTTGATTTTGTTCTTTAACTGCTTAGCCCGGATACACCGATATATTACACATTGTAATTCATCTGTGAACACACTGATACCTGATATTTGTTTGAACCTGAAAAAGTGCACACACGCTGCATTTTCACTGAACCACTTGAACACACTGATACATCATATGCTATAGTTCACTTCGAGCACACCGACACTCGATATCTGTTTGAATCTGAAAACGTGCACACACGCTGTATATGCATCAATTTTGACTGTTCTTCAAAACTGTACATTTAATATCGCTTCGTAACTATTTGCTTTTGAATACAGGGGGATTCCCATGCCTTCCGGGGTTATGGAAATGTCATAGCTCGTGGATGGTACTTGGAGCGGCCTGACGCAGTCCGCCACATCGTCGATCAGGCTGACTTCGGCACTTTCTACAGGGGACTCTCGCGCCTTACTGCGAGCAGACCTCTCCTTGCTGCTCTGGTGGAGAGGTGGTGGGACACCACCGATTCCTTCCACTTCTCTGCCACGGGGGACATGACGATGAGTCCCTTCGACTTCTCGATGCTCACCGGCATCGGGGTAGGGGGTGATCCAATCCCCTTTGACAAAGATAGGGATGAGTGGGAGGCCGCTCAGATGTACTTGCTAGGCGACCTACCGCCTCTTGCCCGTCCAGGATTTGTTAGATATTCGTGGTTCGAGGACCACTTCAGGATTCAGCCAGCCTTAGCTGAAGAGGCGCCGATGGCTCAGGAGGAGGCGGAGCAGCATGCACGCGGCTTCCTTATGTTCTTGCTGGGGACGACCCTCTTCGCCGACCGGGCGAACACCGTGCCTCTCTGTTTGCTGAGCGCTTTGGTGGACGTCACGCGGATCAGCCGCTATGACTGGGGTGGCGCAGGCTTGGCCACACTGTACGGCTACATGAGTTCATCCTCTCGCCTCAGCGGACAGTTGCTCGGAGTCTACTAGCGGGCTTGGGAGGTACATCCTCCTTCTCTGTTTTACATTTCTGCTCTACATAATGTTCGAAACGATGAGGGTTTCGCGAATCGAACGTTAAAACAGACCCGAAAACTAAGGAAAGAGGGGGATAGAAGATTGGGAAATAACCTAGAGAGAAGGGGCTGTTTTTCGAGCAAGAGGAAGTGAGAAATATAGGGCTAGAAGCCCTATAAATAAAGACCGTGCCGAATTGACCAAACTGCCCTGATTCAGGCATATTTGGCTGGTCGGCCACATTGTTGGCCAGTCAGTCAAATATTTGGCCGATGGCCTTGTTTTGTGGCCGGTGTATGGCCGGTGACCTCCCCCGATGGCCGGTGAACCTCCTACACCTTTGTTTGGGTCTTTGATGTGGTTTGGGGCCTCCATTGCTCAACACAGTGCAAGAAAATGCATTTCCGAAGCTTAATCGGTCTTTGTGCCGTGTCTTCTGTGCGTAGCACTCGAATACATGTGAGGTGTATACTTTTCGTATCCTTTGATATCTTACGAGATTTAGTAACTGCTTTGAATGTGTCGCATTACAATGTTTTACCTTGTTAATGGTTAGCATACATAGGTTGCATCGTTATGCATGCATACATGCGTTGTAGCGTACGCCATCCTTGCATTGTTATGCATTTTAATATTGGTCTAGGAGACCTTAAATCCTCTGAAGGTGCAAGTCCTTTGGTGTTTGTCGTGCCCGAACGATTTTTGGTAGGTTTCATCTTGGGCCGCATCGTCATGCGCACCTTACATGCATTGTCATGCATGGTCCTTGTCATGCATCATCATGCGTATCTCACATGCATTTGTCATGCATTTCAAAGAGAACATGCGTTGTCACGCATTTGAGTCCCCTTGCATCGTCATGCACATTCCGGTTGCATTGTCATGCAATTTCTCTATCATGCATTGTCAAGCTTATCTTACTTGCATTTTTATGCATTTTAATATCGGTCTAGGAGACCTTAAATCCTCCGAAGGTGCAAGTCTTTTGGTGTTTGTCGTGCCCGAACAACTCTTGGCAGGTTTTACTTTAGGTTGCATTGTCATGCATCCCGCACTCGCATTGTTATGCACACACCTTGTGCATTGTAGCTCACGCCATACTTGCATTGTTATGCATTTTGATATCGGTCTATGAGACCTTAAATCCTCTGAAGGTGCAAGTCCTTTGGTGTTTGTCGTGCTCGAATGACTTTTGGTAAGTTTCATCTTGGGCCACATCGTCATGCGAACCTTACATGCATTGTCATGCATGGTCCTTATCACGCATCATCATGCGTACCTCACATGCATTTGTCATGCATTTCAAAGAGAACATGCGTTGTCACACATTTGAGTCCCCTTGCATCGTCATGCACATTCCGGTTGCATTGTCATGGGTAAGTTTCATCTTGGGCCACATCGTCATGCGCACCTTACATGCATTGTCATGCATGGTCCTTGTCACGCATCATCATGCGTACCTCACATGCATTTGTCATGCATTTCAAAGAGAACATGCATTGTCACACATTTGAGTTCCCTTGCATCGTCATGCACATTCCGGTTGCATTGTCATGCATTTTCTCTATCATGTATTGTCATGCTTATCTTACTTGCATTGTTATGCATTTTAATATCGGTGTAGGAGACCTTAAATCCTCTAAAGGTGCAAGTCCTTTGGTGTTTGTCGTGCCCGAACGACTCTCGGCAGGTTTTATCTTAGGTTGCATTGTCATGCATCCCGCACTCGCATTGTTATGCACACACCTTGTGCATTGTAGCGCATGCCATACTTACATTGTTATGCATTTTAATATCGGTCTAGGAGACCTTAAATCCTCTGAAGGTGCAAGTCCTTTGGTGTTTGTCATGCCCGAACGACTCTTGGTGGGTTTTATCCTAGGTTGCATTGTCATGCATCCCTCACTCGCATTGTTATGCGCTACTCATGTGCATTGTCATGTATTTCAAAAGACATGCGTTGTCGCGCGCGCGGTCAATTTCATCTCCGTTATCATGCATTTTAAAAAAAAAACAACAAAACAAAAAAACAAACATGCATATGTCATGTATTACACTGTAAATAGTGCATGTGTCATGCATACATTGTAAATAGTGCATATGTCATGCATTACACTATATATAGTGCATGTGTCATGATCTCACTGTAAATATTGCATTTACATACATTCCATTGCATATTGTATATATTGCATTGTAGCTTGCATGCATTCATTGCATCACATCCATCTACGGCTTGCGCCTTTCCATGTTGAGCTTGGTCTAGTATGTGCTCGTACTTTTCGCGTTGAAGCACGGTTATGATATTATGTGTACGCACCTAGTGTTGTGGGTGACGGCACCATTTCCGTGTTAAACGTGGTCTGTATGTGTCTATGCCTTTCCTTGGCAAGATACGGTTCGGCCGCATGCCTTATCCATTGTAAATATTACATTCCATTGCATATTGTGTAGCTTGCATGCATTTATTGCATCACCTCCATTTACGGCTTGCGCCTTTCCATGTTGAGCTTGGTCTGGTATGTGCCCGTACTCTTCGCGTTAAAGCACAGTTATGATATTATGTGTACGCACCTAGTGTTGTGGGTGACGGCACTGCTTCCGTGTTAAATGTGGTCTGTATGTGTCCATGCCTTTCCTAGGCAAGATACGGTTTGGCCGCAGGCTTTATCCACTGCATCCATTGCATTTTAGCTAGTAAATATTGCATTATACATAGCTTGCATTGTCATGCATCTTTCCTTACATGCATTGTAGTGCATTCTTCCTTACTTTGCATTGTCATGCATTTCACTACTGCATCATTTAGTATGTAGGTTTCATTGTAAATAGTGCATTGTCATGCATTCATTGTATTACATTGTAGCTTGCATGCATTCATTGCATCACATCCATCTACGGCTTGCGCCTTTCCATGTTGAGCTTCGTTTGGTATGTGCCCATACTTTTTGCGTTGAAGCACGGTTATGATATTATGTGTACGCACCTAGTGTTGTGGGTGACGGCACCGTTTCCATGTTAAACGTGGTCTGTATGTGTCCATGCCGTTCCTAGGCAAGATACGGTTCGGCCGCAGGCCTTATCCATTGTAAATATTACATTCCATTGCATATTGTATATATTGCATTGTAGCTTGCATGCATTTATTGCATCACCTCTATTTACGGCTTGTGCCTTTCCATGTTGAGCTTGGTCTGGTATGT